CTGAATATGCCTATCCACACAAACCCAACAGTTTCCTGCCATCCCCACAGACTTATGCAACTGGACCCGGTCTAGCATGACCCTATACCTCATTTATAAGGCTGTTCAATTTTCAGAAACTTTATATATCTTCAGTCATCTAAACACCTTCCCACCACAGACATTTTGTTCTTTTCAAAACTACAAATGCAAGGTTGTTACCCTCCTATGACTCCTTACTCCTGGTCTATCCCTAATACAGGCAAATTTCCCCAGACCACCCATTGGAAGTCTCATTTCCACCCAGACATCACTCATAGCTCAGGTCCTCCTCTGCTTTTGCAGATCTTTCTCCAACCCCAACCATGGGACTCTGGTGGGCAGTCTACCTCCATCCCTGTACAACTCTATCCTCACTTTCAACCCATCTCAGGATCATCAAATCACCAAATAAATCACTGAACAGACTCTTCCTCAGCCTTCAAAAATCTACTGTGATTTTTCTGCCCCCCTTCCATCTCAGCACCCACTTCTTCTATCTCCTCCCCACCTCTCTGTATAAGCGACACTCACATGTACTCAGAACTCCATTGGAGGGAATGCAATAACTCCTCTCTCTCATGCTTCCTCTTGCCTAGCCCTTATTCCAACTCACAGTGACTGTTAGTGAACAAAATCCATTATTTCCTTTTTTTACAAAATCACACTTCCTTCACTGCTTCCCCCCACTAACATACCTTATCAGCCACTCACCAGAGCTGTCCTTGAAGATAGCTTTTCAATATGGGAGAATAAGAACAATGTCCAAGAGGGTGTAAGGAAAATGGCTGTGCTTCAGTCAGGAGTAGACTGAGGCAGATATCTGGTACAGCATGACACAGCAGGTTTGGAGTGAAGGTGCACAAACCCCTGCACTATGTAATCACATTTATGTAGCCATTTAATGTAACCTGTTTGTGTGAGCTCATATCTGGCTTTGAGCCTCTTTTGTCTGTGAGATACATACCTGCACCGCTAACTCTGTAGGAGAGAGACAGAATAAAGCCATGTTCCAACTGCTTACAATCCCTCTAGTGTTCTTTCAGCTACCTGCCACCCATCCACCAGCTCCCCTCAGGCCCCAGCTCCAGTTGGAACCTGACAATTGGTGTAGTTATCAGGATACAGAACTGTGCTGCTAGGATGGGCTCTGAAGGAAACATAGGTGGTGGTGGATGGGTCCCCTCTGAGTATGGAGAAGGCACTGAAGCACCTGGAAGCACAGAGCACTGAGAAGGAGCATGCCTTTGCCAGCAGAGTTGGATGGGCATTTTTGACTGCACTACAGGAAGTGCACCCTCAGTCCCTGTGGGATGCAGCACAGGTAAGAGATTTTCAGGTACAAGCAGAATACCTGGAGACCCAGATACACAGCGTGGAATGCAAATTAGGGACTGCTGTCCTCACTCCGTGTGGGATGCCACATACATGAGGTGACTACTGCCATGGCAGCCCTAGGGGAAGCAGAGGGCCATTGGTGGGACTGGGGATATGTGCCATAAAAAAGGGAAAGGCATGCTTTTTGCAGGGGGCCACCTCGTGGGACAAGAAGGGGTCCCAGCAGGTTACCCACATGCAGATGTGGACTGATTTGATTTTGGCTGGGGTTGCCAGAGGGAAAATTGATAGACAACCCAATGAAGTGCTGTTAACTTTGTGGAGGCAATTGTTCCCGAAGCAGCAATTCCAGAAAATGCTCAAAGGAGGGCAGGACGATGTTGCTCGACCCAGTCCTGCCCAGCTGCTCCAGCTCAAGGACTACTTGCAGACAGGTGGCAGTATAGAGCTATTTGGTATGATTAGGGAGCTGGCAAAGGTGCCCGCCTTGTGGGGACACCAGTTGACTGAAGGCTACATGTGGAATTGGCAATTCACTGGTGAGTCCTAGACCTACTAGCCACTGAGAAAGGGGGCACATGTATATATCTCTGAGAAGAATGCTGTTTTTATGTTAATGAATCTGCCATTGTTCATGACGCAGCCCGCAGGCTCTTTGATAGGGCCACAGAAATCCAATGTCAAGCCACAAACTCCTAGTGGCAAGGGTCATCCCTTCTAAAATGGATGCTGTGGGTTGCCCTTTTCTTTGGGCCCCTAACCTTTTTCCTTCTGTTACTAACAATTGGCCAGTGCATACTTAACATTATATCTCACTTCATCTCCCAAGGCTGAACTCTCTTATCCAGGCAACTACCCAGAAACATATTGATACTGTCCTCCTCCTCCAAGTCCATTGTCAGTGCCTTCAGGAAAGTGACTCTGAAGTCGGACACTTACCACTTCCAAACCTGAATCCTAATTACAATACCGATACCCCTATTTGGAAGGAAGCAGCCATGTCCCCTTCCTTTCATACCAAAGTAAAGAACAGGAATGTTAGCCCAAGCTTTGCCATCTTGTAGACCCCCACCATTTTACATACCCTGGATGGAGTGAAAAATTCCACTGGGGCCTGGGCCATGAGAAACATCCTGTTGGGCAGGTCTCAGGCCTAATGGCTTGACCACTGGAAATTTCTCCCTTATCAGTAGCTACCCACACCACCCCATCCTGTTTTGCAACACTCCCCTACTCCCATCTGGACCTATAACTGCCCTCGTCTATAAGCTGGGCTTGGGCTCTGGCACTCACTGGTGTCCCCCTCTGCAAGTATCTTCCTCCAACAAACCTGTGGGGCTGTGGAGCTGTGCCTCCCATCCCTTGTCTCTGTCTCTTTTTCATCCTAACAATTATAAGCCTATAAGTCTTCATTCCTGTGGCTTTAATGTAATAATGAAATTCAGATGTAGTGAGTACTAGAACTCAGTTCCTCCATTTCAAGATTTTTGGCTATTCTAGTCTTTTTACATTTCTGTATGTTTTACAGACCATCTTGTCCATTTTTACAAAAAAAACAAGCAAGCTAGGATTTTGATATGGATTGTACTAAATCTACACCCCAATTTGAGGAGAGTTAGATTTAATAATATGGTGCCTTACAATACATGAGTGTGATATATATCTGTATTTATTTAGGTCTTCTGTAATTTCTCTCAGCAATGTTTCCCACTTTGCAGTATAAAAGAAGAGAGACATTTGGCAGACAAGTAGACATTTGCTAAATGTCTAATTATATTATGGTTTTAGAAACTATTTTAAATAATATTGTAGTTTTATTACATTTTCCAATTATTCACTGTTATTACATAGAAAAACAATAGATTTTTATATTTATTTGGTATTTTAAGACTGCTAAATTTACCTAGTAATTATGATTTTTTTGGTAAATTATTTAGGATAGTCTACACAGACAATTAGATTATCTACATTTTTCTTGTTATCAATTGCAACTTAATTCTCTGTCAGCCACCAGTGAAGCATGAAAGCCATCCTGTGTCTATTCTTTTAGAGAGTAGAGATAGTCATTTTTAGTATTTACTTCATTCGTTTTCTTTCCAAACTCTGCTCTCTGATGACCTTAGAAGAAAAAACAAGGTTTTTTTAGTTAGCTTAGTCTCATTATTAGGGTAGGAAAAATTCTCATTTGAAAATTTCTCCAGCCTAAGAGGAAGCAGAAATTCTATTTATATTGTGGTTCTTTGTAATTATAAAATCAATTTTATGTTTATTATTTAAAAACATTTGTACAAATACAAAGAATAATTAATTTTATACTCATGGTCCCGCCATCAAAAATTTAAAAAATAAATCCTCATTATGCCATAATTTTTGTAAGATTAAAGCATTTCAAATAAAATCAAAGAACCACAAACCTGTCCTCACTCCACCCTCCCTTTGTCCTCTTATTCCAAGAGATTTCATTGCCGTAAATTTACTGTGTATTCACCTCACACTTCAACCACAGGTATAAAACAATGAAAATGAATATTACTTCTAAAATTCCGCTAAATAGTATCACAGTGTGCAAATCACTCTATGTTTTCAAAAATACTTTTCAAGATTTATGTTCATATATAGATCTAATTAATTCATTTTAACATATATTATACTCTATGATAAATACATTTTAATTTATCAATTATATATGATACACATTTAGATAATTTCCTTTCTTTCCTTTCTTGGAGCTACAATATGCAACATTTTATGAATTTCCTGAAATACATGTATTGGAGTTTCTTCAGGGTCCATACCAGTCTAATAGGAATTTTCTGTGATAATGGGACTGTTCTATGATCTGTGCTGCTCAATATGGTCTCTATTAGGAACAGGTGGTTTCTGAGCACTTGAAATATGGCTAGTGAGATTGAAGAACTACATTTTTAATTCTATTAATTTTAAATAAACAATTTAAATAGCTACATGTGGCTACTGTCTACCGTATTTAGAGAGTACAGGTCTATTCCAAGGAACAGAATTATTAGATAATGACGTATGCATATTTAAGCATTACTAGCTAATGTAGAATTGCTCCCCAGAGTAGACTCCAATGTCTTGTTTTCAACTAGCTATAACATGCAATGATCTATTGCCCCATCTGCTTGGCTATATACTTAGTTTTATTAGTTTATACATTTTTTTTAGATAATTTTATGAGTATAAAAGAGTATCTCATTAACGGTTGATTTGTAATTCCCTGTGTGGTGCTGTAATACTTATACATCTATCAAGGACTCTTATTTCCTCCCTTTGAAATTATCTACTTATTTTTCCTTTGGAAGATTTACCTTTTTTCATTGTGGGAATTCTTCATAAACTTGTCATTTTACTTGATAAAATGGTCATACTTAAAAGTCTGAGATTTCTCATTCACTTGAACTTTGTAGTCTTTTGTTACATAGTTGCTTAAATTGTTGAAATGTATCTATATTTTCCCTCACTGTTTCAAGTATTAATGCCTTTCCTAAGGAACCATTTCCTATTATGATGTCACAAATGTATTTTGCTAGGTTTACTGGGAAGATACACTAGTGGGGATAGTTCTGTGTACACAGTGATTAAGCACACAGGTTCTGAAGCCAGTCTGTTTCTTTCAAAATTACCTCATTGCTTTTGAAGAATCAGGTAGTTAGTCAGCTCGGTGTCTCAGTGCCTTTGTCTGTAATGACAAAAGATAGAAATGACACTATTAATAATAATACTTTCCTCACAGAATTGTTCTGAGTTTTACACCTGTTAACAAAATGAAAGAGTTAGTACAACATTCAGCATGCTATGTTAGCTATTATCATTCTAAATGTTTAGCCGTGTTTTCTTTTTTTGGTTGGTTACTATACATATATTATATGATGATGAATGTGTTCTATCATCTTTCACATGTATATCCAAATGACCAAACATCCTTCATTGAACAATGTATATATTTTTTCATCCTGAGGTTTGTCTATATAATTCTAGATATTCTTTTCTGTTCCATTGCGTTCTCTATTTTTGTGCCAATACCATGTTATTTTATTTAGCATAAACTACAGCAAGCCTTGAAGTTATGTTCAGCAAATTTTTCTGTGCTTTTAAGATTTTTTTGTCTAAAAATTGTTTTGGCTACTTAATCCTTATAATTCTGCTTATTAGCATTGCATCAGTTTGAGTTTTGTAATGACATGAATTTGTAAAAAGATATTTATGATATCAGTATTTCTCACCATAGGATATTCGTTCATCTTTAGTTCATTTTGATGACCTTCAAAAAGTTGTTTAATTTTTCCCATAAAAACTTTGTATACACATTGTTAAAAATATTCTCTTAGGTTTCTTTTGCTATTTAAAGTAAGTTTATACTGAAATTAAAATTTTAATTGTCTGTAATATATGTAGAAAATTATTATAGTTGTATGTTGACCTTTTCTACAGGCATTAATGGTTACAGCCAGGATGAACATCCCATTGGGTTGCATTAGCATCTGGTTGTACTGAAGCTTTATTACTGGCACCTGAAATGTTTCATTTTTTTCTTTCTAGCTCAGCAATGCATTTAATTTTTTAAAGATATGGTTTATACTATGTTCTTCCCAAAAGAGAAGAGAATTATGTTGGTTTGGGTCCATTCTTTCATGATGTTTGAACTTAAATTCTCTACATAAATTTTAAAATTATTGATTCACATTCCATGAATAACTGAAGATTTCATTTTTCTTTCATAAATATGTAAATACTTTGTAGCTATCTTTTCAATATTGAATGTTCTCCTCATTAAAAATAATACATTCCAAATCATACAGATTTACTTGTTCATAAATGACATTTTGTTCTAGTTATTTCCTAGTTAATATTTTTAAATTATTGTATATTTTCCATCTACTAAATTGTAACTTGGTTATTTCTGATGGATAAGAAGAATGAGTTTTTTTAGATGTAAATCTTCAATCCAATGTATTTGGCCATAGAAATGTGAGCTAACAAATATATACTGTTTTAAGCTATTAAGTTTGTGATAATTTGTTATGCAGCAATAGAAAACTAATACAATTGACTTGCTTCTAACTTTAATGAGAATAAGTCCAAAGCTCTACAATTATGTCAGATGTTTGCTTTAGGATTCTAGTAAATATATTTTATCAAATTAAGAAACATTGTTTCTGTTTCTCATTTATGATTAAATTAAAAATCAATGTAGAATTATGTTTAATGCTTTTCTACATCTGTAATATCATATCATATTTCTCTTTGAATATGTTACTCTGGATATTAGTAGTGTTTCATTTTGTAATACCGAATCTGCCCTGCATTTCTGGATCATGATTACATTTCTATTATTCTATGTTAAGCTAATAATATGTACTCATCACTTATCTCTAGAATCTAACTATGATGCATGTTTTCTCTTAGTTTTATATCTTACTGGACATTATTTGAATCATCTTAAGGCACTGGGCAGAGGTACTTAGACACGTATGCTCAGGTTGATATCCCACCAGAATTGTAATACTCCTCGCTCTCCAGTTTGTCTTGCCCAGGGCCTTGAATAAATAAAACTGTAGCAAGATGGGTGTCATAGTTGGTTTTTGTTTGTTCTTTTTTTCTTCTTCTGTGGTTGTTAAAGTTCTAAGGAACCCATGTGCATCTAACGTGCAGTTTTACATATGTATACACTGTGCCATTCTGGGTGCCTCGCACCCATTAACTCGTGTTTCTACATCAGTATATTGTAGGTATCACAAAGCAAATCCCTCCACCCTACAACAAACCACAACTACAATGGATCCCGTGTGTGATGCTCCACACTTAACAATGAATAACAACAACCAACATAGCTTAATTCCACCTATGAAAGAAACAAAACAATATTTGGTTTTCTGTTCTTGTGATAGTTGAGCAAGAATGTTTTCCACTTGGGCTCCTTACATCCAACACACACAACACATAACATCCTTTACTACGCTAGTATTCCATGTGTCATAAATACCACAATCATACTCAATCTGCAACATAAGAGAGACATTTGAGAGTTATCCCACTTTTGGCCATTGAGGTGAGAATACTACATAACACGTGTGCATGAAGGAGAGATCATTTATAGCAGCATGATTATAAATAACTTTGCCGGGCAATATACCATAAGACTGGCTGGTCAAATGGCCTAGTTTCTAGTTCTATATCCGTGAGGATCGCCACACTAGGAGATATCACCACAAGGTTGACTAGTCTATACCAGTCCCCACACAAACTAAGTGAGAAAAAAAGTTCTATTCTCCCACATCCTCTCCAGCACTGTTTTTCCTGATTTTTAGGTGATTGCCATTCTAACCTGGCTGAGCGGTGCGGTATCTCATTGTGGTTTTGAGCGATTTCTCTGTGGCAGTGATGATGACTGTTTTCACTGTGTCGCTCGCTGTACAAATGTCTCTTTGAGAAGTTCTTCATATCCTTTGCCCACTCTTTTGATGGCGTTGTTTTTTTTCTTGTTAAAGTTTGATTGAGTTCTCTTCATAGGTTCTGGATATTAGGCCGTTGTCAAGATGAGTAGATTGCAAAAATTTTCTCCCATTCTGTAGGTTGCCCTGTTCCACTATGATGGTAGTTCTCTTTTGCTGTGCAGAAGCTCATTTAAGTTTTAATGAGATCCATTTGTAATTTTGGTCTTCCTGTTCCATTGCTTTTGGTGCTTTTAGACATGAAGTCCTTGCACATCGCCATATGTCCGAATGGATTACCTAGGTTTTCTTCGTAGAGTTTTTTATGGTATTAGTCTAAACATTGTAAGTCCTCAACCATCCTTGCAATTAATTTTCATCATAAGGATAAGGAAAGGGATCCAAGCGTTTCAGTGTTCTGCTTACTGGTAGCCAATTTTCCCATCACATTTATTAATAGGGGGAATCTTTCCCATTTCTGGTTCTTGTCAGGTTTTGGTCAAGACTAGATGGCCGTAGATGTGTGGGTATCTATTTCTCCGGGGAAAGCACTTCTGTATCATTTTCCATTGAACACATTCACTACTCACACCAACACACGCGTTTATTACTGTATTGAATAACGTTTAAGTCAGGTAGCGTGATGACCCATTTGGCGCGGTTTTGGCTAGGAATTGTCTTTGGCATCGCAGGTTTTTTTGTTATATCGGAACTTTAAAGAACTTGTCCAATTTTGAAGAATCTTTGGCTAGTTATGGATGGCATTGCTCTCATCACCTTACTTGGCAGTATGGCCATTTTCACGATATTGATTCTTCCTCTCCATGAGCATGGTATGTGTTTTCATTTGTTTGTGTCCTCTTTTATTTCACGGAGCAGTGGTTTGTAGTTCTCCCTGAAGAGGTCCTTTACATCCCTTATAACTTGGATTCTTAGGTATTTTATTCTCTTGGAAGCAGTTGTGAATGGGAGTTCATTCATGATTTGGCTCTCTGTTTGTCTCTTACTGGTGTATAAGAATGCTTGTGATTTTTGCACATTTTGTATCCTGAGACTTTGTTGAAGTTGCTTATCAGCTTAAGGAGATTTTGGGCTGAGATAATGGGGTTTTCTAAATATACAATCATGTCATCTGCAAACAGGGACAATTTGACTTCTTCTTTTCCTAACTGAATACCCTTGATTTCTTTCTCTTGCCTAATTGTCCTAGCCAGAACTTCCAACACTATGTTGAATAGGAGTGGTGAGAGAGGGCATCCCTGTCTTGTGCCAGTTTTCAAAGGGAATGCTTCCACTTTTTGCCCATTCAGTATGATATTGGCTGTGGGTTTGTCATAAATAGCTCTTATTATTTTGAGAAACATTCCATCAATACCGAATTTATTGAGAGTTTTTAGCATGAAGGACTGTTGAATTTTGTCAAAGGCCTTTTCTGCATCTATTGGAGATAATCATGTGGTTTTTGTCTTTGATTCTGTTTATTTGCTGGATTATGTTTATTGAGTTGCGTATGTTGAACCAGCCTTGCATCCCAGGGATGAAGCCCACTTGACCATGGTGATAAGTTTTTTGATGTGCTGCTGGATCCGGTTTGCCAGTATTTTGTTGAGGATTTTTGCATCGATGTTCATCAGGGATATTGGTCTAAAATTCTCTTTTTTTGTTGTATCTCTGTCAGGCTTTGGTATCAGGATGATGTTGGTGCTGTAAAATGAGTTAGGGAGGATTCCCTCTTTTTCTATTGACTGGAAGAGTTTCAGAAGGAATGGTACCAACTCCTCCTTGTACCTCTGGTAGAATTCGGCTGTGAATCCCTCTGGTCCTGGACTTCTTTTGGTTGGTAGGCTATTAATTATTGCCTCAATTTCAGAGCCTGCTATTGGTCTATTCAGGGATTCAACTTCTTCCTGGTTTAGTCTTGGGAGAGTGTAAGTGTCCAGGAAATTATCCATTTCTAGATTGCGTTTTTTTGAGCAAACATATCTGAAGACAGTTGAGCACACAGTTGAGCATCCACTAACACTTGTGGAAGGGAAGGAAAGAAAGCAGGATTGAGCAGAGTAAGAAGTGAAGCTACCTGCAGTCCCAATATCAGTGTCAGCCTGGGCAGTTCTGGAGTTAGAATGGCCATCCAGCGTTGTCCTGATTGCACATGAGCCATCCCAGGAAGGACATAACTTTGCGGAAGGTGGCTTTCTGAAGCTGAGACAATTCCCTGAAGTGCTGACATCTGAAAGCTGTCTACTGT